TGTGGCTACTTGCATGATAGACATATAAATTTATATTTCTTGTTATAGTATTATTTTATATTTATGTAATGTACATATTGAAATATCCCTACATGAAAACTGTTTGAGTACCAGACTGTTAAGGTGTAATCACATGATTTGTTCTGCTTTATTTTTCCATCAAAAATTGTGAAAATACATAAAATTATTATCATTTAGATGTATGTCAACAACCTCTGGTGGTTGGCCCATGTAGGGGATCTTTCTCTCGTTGGTACTATGACAAATCTGATGATCGATGTAAGCAGTTCAAGTATGGAGGCTGTAAAGGAAATGAAAATAACTTTCCAACTGAAAGTCAGTGTCAAACACAATGTACTTCATTCACTGCAAAAGGTAACTTTGAAGATTGTTTGTCTTTTTTTTGGCAATTGTTGCATAGGTCAGACCTGTAGTGGATGGTGCAAATCATACAGTATTTGCTTGGCCCAGGATGGCTTCTTTGTCTTCTGTTGGGGTAAAGCAGGAGAGCTTTGCTTGGGAATTTCAGTATCAAGCCCATATGTCTTATGGACATCCCTAAATTGTCTTTGGATAAATAAATAAGCTAATCAACTAAATGGCACTTGTGCACATGTAAAATACTAAAAACAAGACATCAATGATGAACTGTTGCACAATAAATTATCATTATTAAAAAGAGAACAAATTTTAAATTGCAAGAATGTTATATTGCTGAATCAAGTTGAGTTTAAGTACAATTAAATATCAGAAAAACATTATAAGTTGAAAAAATATATTATTTTGAGTAAAGAAGCTGATCTAGGTGTGGAAGAAATAAAATACTCAAATTAGGTATATAAGTTGCAAAGATACACAAAGATTCTGTTCTATTTGTAAACTATAAAAATATTGATTTGTGTAAAGATGATGTGGATCAAGGAAATAAATACTGAAAATCTGTCTTGTAAGCTCTATGGGAAGTGTTGGGGAACTGTGTTTGAAGTTAAAATGGTACTGCGGGTATAATTTATGATTATGTAAGTTGGATGAGATGTAGATATAAAAGTCAGTATCAGTTTTAACTCATGCTCATTATGGCATAGAATGCCAGCAAAACATGTTGGGTCCTTTAGGGCTGTGCCCATTTTTATAATAAACCTAATTTATTGTGTAAATGGGGAAAGTGGGGTATAAACTGCAACTAATAAGTTACACTGGTTATCAAAATCAGACCAGCTATTTTACAATTAATGACCAAACCTTCAAACTTTGAAAATTGAAGATTTTATAAGTTTTCTATTCACAACTGCATTCTGCTTGCTGAATAAACTAGTAAAATCATGTGACATTACAAATATATTTGGAATTATGTTTGAGTAGTCCATATAAAAATTATAACGTTACATCTAAATTTAGTTAACATAAGGGTCATGAATTATGACTACCTAGTTCAGAAATACTATCAATGAGATAACACCTCATAACAATATTTGAATTTCATCTTATAAAGAGTGAGTTACATAACCTCTAAAGATTTCAGTTACCAAAATTACAAATTGCAAGATATTCCTTCACAAACTGATGAATCCAATTCATTTTGTACCTGATGTGGTGTAGATTCTAAAGCAACTCCATGTCTTTCTTTCAGTAAACTCACATGCTCTTGAATATTTCATTCTATATTAAGAACACAGATCATACTGTGTTTTTATCCTGAACCACTATAGTGTTTCATAATAGGGACTGACCAGGAATTTCACAAAAATTCTAATAGAATGTATGGGCAAAAAACCATCTTAAAAAACAAACTTGTTCTTGAAACAATACTCAAGACTTTGAATCTCAATGGCTAAGGCTGCTAAAATATTGATAATAGCAAAAAAAGTTGATTTTTCTAATGTTAGACAAAATTCAAAATTCATCCGTCTGTTCTTCATATTTTATTATTCATATTATTATTGTTTCACAAATCTACAGAAAAAAATGGCTATGAATATTTTATTTAAACCTGGGCATACCAATTTAAAAAACTCCTGCACAGGCCATAGGACCATTTTTATGTTCATCCTTGAAAGAGAGTTTGTTTGTTTGTAATTAAGCACAAAGCTACACAATGGGCTAACTGTGCTCTGCCCACCATGGGTATTGAAACCTGGTTTCTAGCATTGTAAGTCCACTATGCCACTGGGGAGATATTTTATCAGTTTTTTCCATGCTTGTGGTCAAGTTTCTCTTTGAAGCCATTTAAGCACTGAAGCATACATCAAAAATGACTAGGTATACTGCACCAAAATCTATGCATAGCTGTTAAACACACTTCTGAGAAGGCTGTAAGGCTATTTTTAAGTTGATTCTTGAAAGTTGAGATTTCCACCCTCCAAAAGTTTTTAAGTTCTTCACAACCACCATAAGCTCTTCAAAGCCATTCAAGCATTGCAGAAATCTAGAAGCCATTAAAGCACTGTTATACTAGTTGAATATATTCCATTTTATACAAGTCATAAATGTTTTGTTTTATTAGTATAAACAATGTGTATATTTATAACAGTGTCTCCAGCCACATTATTACTGATTATAGTTTTACAAGCTGCTACAGAAAAAAGGCTACAAATATTTTACTGAAACCTGGAGAATAGTAATGAATGCAGTATTGAGCATGTCACAGGGTAGTTTAAAATTAATTTACGTGTCTTCGTATTTTTGCCCTGAAGAATTTCTCAAAGTCCTTCACTTTCAGCTATTGAAAAAAATTCTGGTGTTTTACTAGTGCACATCAGTTGGAAAATAATTTGTGCAACTTATAGCACATTAATTGGAAACTGCCATATTGAGAATTCATCATTTCTCAAGTTTGCTGTTCTTCATTGTTTCTTGAGTTCACTATTGTACTGTTACGCCTCCAGTCGTTAGTTAATTTTCCGTAAATTCGTTCCAACGAAACTTTAGCGACACAAGTCCTTTCTTAAATAAAACTGGTTTATTCTTTTTGAATACAACTTTACGATACACTTAATTTCAATAGTCGCTCTATAACAAATGCTATAACTAACGTCTCACGAGCTCGACAATACTCCGTTCAATTACACACTCTCTGACTGCAG